AAAAAAAAAAAAAAAAGCAACAGACTGGCTGGATACGGTGGCACACGCCTATAATCCCAGCACTTTGGGAGACTGAGGTGAGAGGTTTGCCTGAGCCCATGGGTTCGAGATCAGCTTGGGCAACATGGTGAGACCTCACCTCTACAACAAATAAATTTTTAAAAAATTAGCTAGGTGTGGTGGCACATGCCTATAGTTCCAGCTACTTGGAAGGCTGAGGTGGAAGGATCAACTGAGCCCAGTAGGTCCAGGCTGCGGTGGCCGTGAGCATGTCACCGCACTCCAGTCTGGGTGACAGAGTGAGACTCTGATCCAAAAAAAAAGCAGTAGACTTTAAAGACTGGTCTCTTGGGGCACATGTCATCAGCAACGGTACCTGCATAATGAACATTTGTATACCTAACCTGAATTGTACCCCACATCTTTAAAATTACATTTTTTTTAAGATATAGTTTATTTAGAAAGCAAGTTAGAAAGAGAAAAAGGAGACTTACCTCCCCAAAGTAGGGAAGGGGGACAAAGCCAGGAAACATGGCCTGGCCATTGCTTAAAGAGCACATGGACCCCCATAGCTTAGCAAGGCAATACCGGCAATAGCCTGGCAATGACTGCAATGGCCTAAAATTAAAAATTAAAAAAAAAAAAAAAAAGATTGGTCTCTTTCCATTCTGAGCCAAAGAAACTGAGAGGTCCAAAAAGGGAGCGGAGGAACCCCTTTCACAACCACTTAAACACTCAAACCCAAGTTCTTCTACTACTTATTATTACTACAACAATGTCCAGACCTTGCTTCAAACACTTCACACTTATAAGGAACAAAACATTGATCTCTGTCCTCAGGGAACCCACACTCTTAAGGGTGAAAGCAGACCATCAGGATGCATAACACTGTCACCTGGATCCTCCATCTAGATGGGTTTCCAAATACCCCAGTTACCAAAGCAACCTTTCTTCAACATCCGCGTCCCTACGCCCCTAACTCGGTTTTCACGTGTGAGTCTCAAGCCCAGCTCTACTGCCGAATAGTCCACTTTTCTTGGCCCAACTCACCTTTTAAACATCTCGTCGTTGACAGGCGCTCTCTCAGCTTCCAAGAGCTGCAACATCGTCTCCCAGACTACTCCAGGCAACGCCCGGCCCCGACCCCAGCACCTTGCACTGCAGCGTGCGCGGCTCGATCATCTCCAGGGGCC